CACACACACACACACACACACACACACACACACACACACACACACACACAAGCAGAGTAAATTAACAGTACCTGGACATCTATAGAGCTTCCTTGCCTGTGCAATGTCTCCTTTGCTGAGTCTGGTCCGCTGGCCAATGGCAGGCCTGACYCCATTCTCATCTCTGGATGGAAGGATGGTATCGAGGAACATCCCACTTTAAACAACAAACAATAAATGTGTCATCAGAGCAGTGTAACACAACTTGTTCTGAACTAAACATTGGAAATGTTAACAAGTACTTGTTTTTTTACTAAAATGTGTGTATAAAATACAAACAAAAAAAGTGATCTTGTCAAGTAAATACCATCTATTTTTAGTTACAAACCATTTYGTTAATGTTGTAAAGCAGGTTAATCATTTTAAAGAGTTATTTGATCACTATGCAAAAACTTTAAAATGACAACATGTTGTTGGGAAGCAATAAGCAGAATAAATATAGTCCGGCAAATTAAGATGATGTAAAAATCCCTGAAAATATCAACTTTTTAAAAAAATGAAGGTATTATTGGAGCAGAACTTTAACTTAAAGCCAAAGGAAGTAAATGCTACCTTGAAGTTAAAACAAACAAAAGGCAAATGGAGCAAAATACCATAGCAAATGGTGAGCTAAAAACTAAATGTAGGAAATCACTGGCTAAATGCAGCAGTATGTTATAACAGATTAAAATAACAAAAAGTAGCTAAAAGGCTAAATTAGCAAATGTATCAGCTATAAGCATTAAAAGGCTAAATTAATTCTAAAGAGAACAAAAAGGCTAGATAAAAGCTAAAAATTGTAAAAYAGTAGGCAAAAAACAACAAAATCAGAGCTAAAGCAGAGTAAAGTATAAAGTATACAAAGAGTTTGAATGTAAAAATGTACAAAAATATGCTAAATCAACATTTCCACAACAAACCTATAGTTACATTCATAAATAGGGTTGAGTAGTGTTGATGCACAGATCAACAAAAACAAAACTACAATAAATGCACTTGATGTTAAAAAAACATAAAATCATTTCCACAATAGTTTTTAATTTCAATGATAAAATGGGCAGCAGAATCCTGTGATGCTCTGACATCAGATTCACTCAAAATAAATAAAACATAAATCCCCCTAACTACATAAAAACCCATCAGCTTTACTGTTAACGATGCCAGCTTTGCTGTTCAGAAATATCAGTCTAAACAAGTCGTGTTCTTTTAAATYCAAAACATGTCAACAGACAAGATGCTCTCTCACCGTGAGAAGGTGTTCCTGGCGTAGTGCATAATGCTGTCAAAATCATACGGCTCCCCGAGGGAGTTCACTTCTCCTGGCTCCATCTTCAGGAAGTTGTATTCCTGACCTGAACGCCACATAAAACCTCAGATTTAGCATCGTTTCTGCAGATTGCAACAATTTGATGTGTTTCCAGAACTGCACACTTGCGCTTTTTACAATTTCAGCAAACAAAAATAACTAACCCTGTCCATGCATAGATTTAGGGGCACGTATCAAAAAGGTAAATGTCGAATGGAGCACGTTGTTATGTTCTAAATAAAACTTCTGCTTRTCCCTCATATGCTGCAGGTTAATTTAATGTAACACCTGTCAAGCTGGGTGGTGCTGCAGAGAGTTACTTTTAAGGAAAAGTGGCAGTTGACAATAAAAAAACAGTRAAGCTGACTTCACAGTCATTAAAAGACCAATTCACACTCAATGAAACCGAAAAACGAGTGAGAATTCAAGCACACAGTCTGTGAACGCCGGGYAGAAAACAGCCCGAGTGATTCTAGCTGTGACCCAGGTGGCTCCTRGGTAATGAGTCTCACCTGGCTGGATGTTATCCCGGATTATGGTGACATGATCRTCACGGTCAGGCCGTGTGTGTTCGTGCCAGAAGCCAATGACGTGGCCCAGTTCATGAACCACGATGCCAAACTTGTCACAGTTCTTTCCTATGGAGATAGCCTGAGGTCCATTGCCACGACGCCCCACATACGAACAGCACCTAAAAAGGATTAATAGGAAGTTCATAGCAGTGAGATAAGCAAAGGATATTTACTACAGATTAGGCAGTGTGTGTGTGTGTGTGTGTGTTCAACAATGAACAGACACACACTCACACACAGTCTTTCCAGGATTTCCTGCACTATGCTGCTACATCCACTAGGACAACAGGGAGAGTATTTATTTACATCAATGCTGTGATATTCCTGCACTTTTATAACATAATATAAAAAAGCTGTGACCATTCTTTTTTTTACTGAACACACACAAGTGTATTGTCTTTCCAGGTTATCGGAGACTTTGGTGCCAGACTAACAAATCTGATTAAAGTTATCCAATGAGCTGATTGCACTGTAMGGATCAGGAGCCAGCAATGTACTTTTCCCGCACACGTCAGTGACTTCTCATGTACAAACTACAGAAACAAACACACATACTGTATAATACTGCATAACTTTCTCTTGTTTTCAACTTAAACACAATTTTGCACAAATAGGATATTTCTACACTGCGTAATCTCAAATGCAGCCAGTCACAGTGGACAAACAACAACTTGCACCAATGGATCACATGAATATCTTCAATAACCCTAAATACCTCAAAGTATTGCTGTTAATTTCTAAGAGCATGATTACTGACGCAGTCACTGCTGGATATGGACACCAGTGACCCTGAAAGGAAGAAGCGGGTATAGAGGATGGATGGATGGATGGATGGATGGATGGATGGATGGATGGATGGATGGATGGATGGATGGATGGATGGATGGATGGATGGATGGATACTGATGGAGCTAGTTGCAGCACTTAAGATTGTAGATGTTTTCCGCTGGCAGCAGCCCACTTTGGTTTTGCCCAAAAGGCTGACACTGCTGGAGGACAAACTGACCACATTTCCTCACTCCGCTGCTGTCTTCAGTCACTTTCCTATGTTTGTTTTTGCAATTATTTTCTATTAACAACATAATGTGTTTTTTTGTCACTCTTCCAGAAGAAAATACAGTGGACCAGTCATTCTGTGTTTGTGTTTTTCTGACTCTTTCCTGTCCCCTCAAACTCAGCCGGTCGAGGCAGATGGTCGCCCGTCCTAAACCTGGTTCTGCTGGAGCTTTCTTCCTGTTAAAAGGGAGTTTTTCCTTCCACTGTTGCCAATGTGCTGCTCAAGATGGGAGACTGCTACGAAGTGGTGCAGCACAATCTGCTTTTTCCTTATATTGATTGTTTTTTGTACAGTACCCTGTTTGTTGCAGCTTGGCACTTTATAAATAAACTGAATTGAATTGAATCAGTCAGGTAACAATTAAACTCAATGTAAGAAATAAAGTTTTCATAACTTTTTGAACAAAACTTATCTTCACTGTTACTTTAATGTCAGCCTGCTTGTCATTAGGTCTTTCYAAGAAGGGAGCATGAGCAAGTTAAAAGCCATAGAAATGCTTTGGAGGAAATATGGGAGAACTAAAGAGAAAACAAGAAGATTAGCCTTTAGTTGTATTTTTATTGTTGTTTTAAAAGTCTCAAAAGCCAAAAAATAAAATAAWTTTAAAAACAGCTTGATGCAGAGCTACACTGTTGCTCTCTTTTCTGCAGAAATGGGTCAAAAGCGCGATGGAGAATAAATAAGTTGCATACAATACAAGTCAGAAACTACAATAATGCCTCATGCGATCTGTTAGTCCTTGGAGAAATTGCTGAGGATGACTCTCAGTTACTACCACAAACTGACTGAGTCATAACTGTTYGGGTAAACCCCTGTTTAGACCGGTCTGTAGATCACTACACTTAGGTAGCTTGTTCACTGTAGCACAGTCTGTTCCAGGACCMACACTCTTTGTGATAAATGTGTTTGATTTGATTTGATTTATTGATTTAACAGGAAAATATTACTAAAAATCAAGCCTGACTCAGCATAATTGCTGTTTTACAGCAGGTTCCTGTTCTGCAGCACATAAAACACAGCTGCAGATACTAAACGTGTACTGAGTGCGTGCTGCAGTGATTCAGTGTTTTCCACTTCAAATAGTGATTTCTTCCTGATGAATGCCTCTAACTGATTTGAGTTTTTATACATCCGTTTATGTCCTTAGAAATTCACAAAAACTGTAATTATTAAAATTCTAATGATTTAGAATCCGAACCTGGGGTAGAAAAGTGTTTTCCTTCCAAAATAATCTTGACTATATTTTCACCACAACCCTACAACTTCAGCTCCTWGTACAGTACATAACTGGATATCCTTTTTTTTTTTAAATCAACCATCTGCGCAGCCTTGGCTTAAAGCAATAAACTTAAATGTCCTGATCTCAGTCCTCTAAAGTTTTACGACTCAGCTCGACCAGCAAGTGAAGTGTCACCGCTGTACAAATACACTTTGACCCCACCGTGCTGCCACTCGACAGAACAATGCTCTTCTGCAGAGTGCGAACAAAAGACCTGCACGAACATACAAACACTTAAAGCGAGCGGCGTGATTGGTGGGACGGGGAAACAGGAGCAGGACAGGAAGGAAAGCAAAGCCATTGTTGAGTGGCCATATCGTCTCTCACTGTGACAAGGTCACTGGTGAATTCTAGGCACACACACACACAAACACACACATATTCAAACACAATCCAAGATATACAAAGAAATCTTCCACGCTCACCCGCAGGGCCTGTAGGTGAAGACAATGTAGCTTTCTTCGTCCGTCTTTTCGATGAAAGTTACRCATGTTTGTTTCTCCCAGTGACGCATGGCCTGTTTGAACATGGCCCTCTGACTACCTGAAACACACACACATATTTCTTCCATCCTACCTTCACACAGTCACACTTAGCATACATTTGACTGCAGAATGGTGGGGGGAAGCCGTCCTGTGGAGCTGCTTACCAGTGAAGTTTCCTCCRATGACGTAGGGAATGACTCCCCCGGGCCAGATTCGTTCAAAGCGGGATGTAGCTGCTCGAGGAACACGACTCTTCATGGCCTTACCAGCTTTCCCAGTTTGGCTCTTTGAAGTGGTCGCTCCTTTGCTTTCATTTTTGGGGACAAGGTCTAATATAATGAGAGAAAAAAACACCCAAATAGTCACATATTAAGTAAAATCAGATAAAGATAATAAATAAGTGCATCCTCACAAGGTGGTTTAGTGAGATATAGGSAGGTATAGTGCATTGTTTGATTTGTAATGTGTTAACTTTGTCAAAATATGATGAATAATTATCTTATCTATGGGTCCCTTTGAAGGATATGTTCAAAATATAACTCYAAAGAATGTTTTGAARCACTTTTCAAAATTGACAAATRAGAGGATTTTGAGCAGAAAAGCCATTCATTTTTGTTAATACTAGCTGGGAAACCCCAAAATCCAAATAGGTTTGTGGTTTTCCTCCTTCTAACGACTTCATGAAATCTTCATTAACATACACGAAAAAGGATTCAGACCAATTTCTAAATGGTATTCCCAGTTAACAAGACAAATCAAGCCACATCTCTGGAACTGTTCATAACGGGATGACCTAGATATCAAAATGTAGCTTAAAAAGCAAAGAATCTGAAAATGTGCTTAGTTTAGCGTGACCAAAAATGACCTGATTTGATGTGAAGGGTCACAAATACATATTGTTGGATAAGGTTATTTTTTTATTACATTTGATCTTTTATAGGAACCAAAATCCTGCTTAAAAAGATAAACATCAGCATCACAGAAGATAAAGTCTACAGTAATAAATTAGTTTGATAATTATTATAAAAGCAATGAGCATGGAAATGTTGTATAAAGCAAAAAAACCAAACAAGGTCTAAGTTTTAGATTGCTTACCAAAACCAAATCTGCGTATTCTTTCTAGCAGAAGGTCCAACGATCCTCTCTTCACTGTTTCATGTTCTCCCATACCACCTAGAACAAAAAGCGACCAGAGTCATCCAAAACAGGGGGGAAATGTCATTTTTTTAAGTGCGAGGGCTGGGGTACACCCTGGACAGGTTGCAAGCCCATCACA